GCGGCGCGGAGCACGAGGACAAGGGCAGAGGAAACCGGAGGAATTATGATTTCAAGGCTGCCGCCTCTGCCGCCGACCTCAAATCGGGGCCATGCGGTTCTGTTTTCAGCATTCAGTCGCCACGGGTTGTGGGCGCTTCGCAGGTTGTCGATGGGGCATTTTGCCGTTGGGATATTGCGAGAGAAATCTAGAAATTCAAAAAGTTGGCGCGCGGTGCGCCGGCGCGCGCGACGATCGTTTGGACGCGCCGCGCGGGGGGCCTCAAGCTCCGCAGGGAAACCTGCGATTAGATCGACAGCCTCGTCCCCGTGGTATTAAAATGCCTCCTCTGGGCTCTGAGCAACGCCTGCTAAATAGACTTGGACCGACGTCGCACGCGCGCGGAACGCGCGGCGCCTGCCGTGCGCCGCGGGGCGCCGCGCGTCAAGTCTGCGTTCATGATACCTGGCCTTCTTAGCCCGCGGCTCTTCGCAGTCACCGCGATCGCCCCCCGGCGCGGCAAATGCCTTTCCCTTGCTGGCGTCCTCTGCGTTCTTGCCGTTGCTCTTGCCGCCGTCGGCGCCACCTTTGCCGCCTTTGCCCCCGCGGAATGCCGCGCGCCCCTTCGCATCTCCGTCGTGCTCAGCTTCCGCTGTTTGGAGCAAAGTCGTTTCCACCGCAGTGACGGCTGTCTCAACGTTGAACGATTCGTCGCCCGCAATAGACCTCTCAGCCCAGTTGCGCCGGCCGAGCTCATCACGTGCGAGCGCCAGCTGGCCGCCCGGATTGGCGGCCACCTGGCGCGGGCCGCGCGCAGAACGCACGCGTCGTGCGACCCCTTTTGCGCTTGGCGAATCGCGCGCCTTGAGGGCAAGCTGACGGCGGCTGACCGTCGCGGCCAACAACAGCTGACTGGTACAGACGGAGGCTATGGCGCACCTGCGCGCAGGCGAAAGCCGCGCTTAGTTGCGCGCGCGGCGCAAGCAAGGTCGCGCGCATCTCGAACGCTGAATGCCATTGCGAGAAGGTCAGCGATCTGGATTTGACCGAGCTGACGGCGCCCTCGTCCTCCGTTGCATCCTACGCGCCTTTTACCTCTGCCCACGTGGGCAATAATTGCTTTAGAATCTGAGTGAACGAACGGGGGCTTGACGCCGCGGCGCAGCAGCTTCTTCACCTCATTGTCTCATGCGTCCACCGCCGCGGAACGCGGCCAGAAAGGCTGGCTTAAGTCCTTGAGGGGGCCGCTCTTCAACGTCCCCTGCACGTCGACGTAAGACCCAGGTTCGGCCGCAGCCCCGCCGCGGGGCGCGCTGGCAGCGGAGGCCGAGCCCGACGCGCGCCGCTCCTCCTCGAGCAAGGTTTTCGCGTCGGACATTACCCTGGCGAGGAAGGACCGCTTGCCTGCAGTCAGATCGCCCGTCAGCGACTCCGCGGCTGCGAAAGCCAAATCGCGCGCGGACGTCAGCTCGTTCTCCCCTGCAAACGAGCGGGCGCGCCATCGCCGCACCCGCGGGCGGACGCGTCGCCTGGCAAGCGCGCGCAATTCGCAATCCACTCTCTGCCGCGTTTGGCATCGTTATGAGATGCCAGAAACTCAGGCAAAGACATGCCCTGGTTGGGCTTCTCAACGGCCATCTTGCCGCGCGCCGCACTTGCCGCAACGGCGCGCGCCCGCCGCGACTTCTGTCCGCGGAACTGCCTGCGCTTGCGCGGACCGCGCGTGGCCGCACGCTTGAGTTCGGCGACGCATTTGCATTGAGCGGAGTCGTAGCCGCGATCGCCTAGTTTGGTCGCGCCGGTACGATCGTCTGGACAGGGTCACGAATAAGACACCGAACGGTCGACACGGTCGCTTGACACGATTTAAGCATGTCGAATTATACACGGTCACCTCACACGGTCGCGCGTTTGGTACACCTGGCCAATTTAGGCACTCTTGGCCGCGTTTTGGCGCCCCTGGCTGCGTTTGGCATTCTTGGCCGCGTTGTCCACGTTTCCCTGCGATTAGCACTCTTGGCCGCGTAAGGCACTCCTTGGCCGCGTTTGGCACTCTTCGCCGCGTTAGGCACTCTTCGCCGCGCTTGGCACCCTTGGCCGCGTTAGGCACCCTTGGCCGCGTTTGGCATTCTTGGCCGCGTTTGGCACTTTTGGCCGCGTTCGGCACTCTTGGCCGCGTTTGGCACTTTAGGCCACGTTTGGCACTCTTGGCCGCCTCTGGCACACTTTAGGCCGCGCTTGGCACACTTTAGGCCGCGCTTGGCACCCTTGGCCGCGTTTGGCACTCTTGGCCGCGTTAGGCACTCTTGGCCGCGCTTGGCATTCTTTGGCCGCGTTAGGCACCCCTGGCCGCGTTTGGCACTTTAGGCCGCGTCCGGTACTCTTGGCCGCGTCTGGTACTCTTGGCCGTGTTTGACACTTTAGGCCGCGTTAGGCACTCTTGGCCGCGTTAGGCACTCTTTGGCCGCGTTTGGCACCCCTAGGCCGCGTTTGGCATTCTTGGCCGCGTTTGGCACTTTTGGCCGCGTTCGGCACTCTTGGCCGCATTTGGCACTGTAGGCCACGTTTGGCACTCTTGGCCGCCTCTGGCACACTTTAGGCCGCGCTTGGCACCCTTGGCCGCGTTTGGCACTCTTGGCCGCGTTAGGCACTCTTGGCCGCGCTTGGCATTCTTTGGCCGCGTTAGGCACCCCTGGCCGCGTTTGGCACTTTAGGCCGCGTCTGGTACTCTTGGCCGCGTCTGGTACTCTTGGCCGTGTTTGACACTTTAGGCCGCGTTAGGCATTCTTGGCCGCGTCAGGCACTCTTTGGCCGCGTTTGGCACCCCTAGGCCGCGTTGGGCACTCTTGGCCGCGTTTGGCACTCCAGGCCGCGTTTGGCACCATAGGCCGCGTTAGGCATCCTAGGCCGCGTTAGGCAGGCGCTCTTGGCCGCGAAAGGAGAACGCCGCGACCGCGGCAAGCCGACGCGCGCGCGGAGCGCGCAGTCCTCGCGAGTGGCCGTTGCGCGCCCCCGCGCCGCGCGTCGTGCGCGGGGGTCTGTTTACCCCCCCCCACCGCGGGGGGGAAGTCATGAAGGGGACCAAGACCCAGAACACAAAGTACACGAGGGCCTGAGCGCG